GTTCGAACCTTGTTAATTAGTTTGACGTGTCACCATGGAAACCACTAGCGATCTTTCTTTTGTTTATAAGACGACCGTTTCATGATACGTTTCAGGGTGACTTATTCAAGGCGAATGAACAGTGGTCCGATCTGCTCCTCTGGAGGTTCGTTTACGCAATATTTTGTAACTTCGTATGCCAACTTCTTCCATTCTTGATATCTCCCCGATTTAAGCGATAAATAGCCTTGGGGTCGCGGTAGCATGCCTTCTTCCACCCATATGCCTAATAGTACATGAGTATATAGAACAATCTTGCGATCGTTGAAATTGGTCATCCGCAGATGCTTCCTTCTGCCTAATCCCAAAGTCACTGTAGGCACCCATTCTGGTTCTCTCGTTACTTGCAACTTCATCCTGGCCCCTCCGACGCCAATCTTCACATCGCTTGACTCTCCGACCGCGATTATTACCTGTTGGTCATTCGCCGTTACATTATAAATCTTCAATCCGTATTCCGAACGACGTCCTGCAAGGTGAATACGGACTTCGTCTGGTAGACATGAAGTGCCACTAGCGAAATCGGGCCGCACTCCTTCGGGTACCATATAGTGCATACACAATATTGATTATTGCCCCGCTTGATCTTTACCCAAGCATCATAATAATAAACCAGCGATCCCACGAGGGTCACCTTGATCTTCGTAGTTTTATTGTCTTGTATGGATTCTCACCGATCACGATGCATTCTTGTTGCTGACTCTCCATAATACAACAAACCTAAAGAGCAAAGGTGGTGTCAATGATTGAAACTTCAGCACCAGATTTAAAGAACAGTGTCTCCGTAACATTGTTTATCTTGCCCACAGCTTTCGCCTGCTTAAACCACACCTAGTGAGTAATTTTAATAGTATCCTCGAGACTCTCCATACTCAAGCTGGATCTTCACAGTTGGCTCATATCGCAAATACTCGTCGATCCTATTCATTCAGGGATAGAAGCGGTATGTTTTGACTTTAAACGAGATATCGTTACTTCCATATCTGTGTTCTGCGTACTTTGTGATTATTTTCTCTTTTCTACAAATGCAAAGATGCAGAGCCTAGAACGCTCGGCTCGTACCAGATTCCAACCTGGCGAACGCTCTAATTTAACATCTTCTAGGCTTTTTCTGGCAAATCCCCGCAAGTTTGTTCGGGACATACCACTGGCGGATCACGTTGTAGACCTCCTCCATCGGGCACTTCCCAGAATCGTGCATCTCACCACAGGCGCGACATGCAAAAAAAGTCGAAGGGATGCCCTTTACGACCACATTTTTGACAGTTAAGCCGCTTCCAACAGCCGATATCGCCGTGCTAAGTCGATCCACAGTGAGTACACGGTTTCATCTGTGCGCTGCGATCCTGATACTCTTAACGAACAGTTGGATCGGTCGATCTCATGCATGCTAAAGCATCGCTTGTTGTCTTGCGTCAGTCTGAGGTTGTGGATGCATGGGCCGATCTAAGGTGACTTTCCGGAATCGATCCGCTGGAGTCTGAATCTGATTTACTGCTGCTGCTCTTGGCACAAATCATCTTGACTGCCCCGCGCGGGTTTAGTTGGGACCGGACCTAAAGCTCTTTTCGGTCAGAATTTGGACGAGCCCATCATAACTTTCCCTTGGCGCGACCTCCCACGTTGGCATTTATGTAGTTCCTTGTGCATGGCGTCCCCATCTTCTGCATCCAGCAGTAGAAATAAATTGGCGAGATTGGGATCATAAAAGATGTCAATAAAATAATTGACTAGTTTCTTGCGTACATCTGGCGTTCCAGTCAACGCCGAAATATTCGCCTGCATCCCCATCTCTTTCGGCAGGTACGAGTTCTCCAGGGGGTTCTCTTCCGATTGCTTCTTCACGTGGTAATACTGTATGCTCACTGACATCCTAAGTCCGGCATATTTTACTAAGAAACTGTTCATCAGCTCTGTACACCTGAATATCATTGATCTGCTCAGCTGGCGATACCAGTAGCGGGCTGGGCCCACCATCCGATCGCCTAAGACCAAACATTTCTCTTCGTCCGGTCCTTGGTCCCAGAGGAACGCCGATCTAACTTTGCCTATCCTGATTTACGGTCCGTCTTCTTCCCGATCTTTACCTACAATTATCTATTAGCCTCGATACTGCTAAGATTATGATCTTCTGAGTGATGGAGCTGGTACCGGTAGTCGTAACTGTCGCAGCTACTTGAGCTCGTCTTGGTTTGGGCATCTACATGTCGTCTCCATCATTTCTGCCTTCTGATGGATCTGATGAAAAGTATTGGATCCCACCGATTCCATGTCCACATTCGGTATGTCGTGGATTTCTTGCGGATATTGGTAAAGTACGGCGATCCGGCTGATGTTCGACTGCTGGTTCATTAGTTGGGCCGCCAGTTGATCCGCTTCGTACTGCTTCATTGCTGTACTATAAAAAATTGAATTGTTCACTTCTTACTCCTTCGGCTCAGTAGGTGTACCTGTCGATCTTGGTTGTCTGTCGATCTTAGCTTGTCCTTTGGGTGTGTCAATACTGACCTTGCCGATCCTGATGTGTAGAAACGATCCTCTTGATGGGATCAGAGACATTTGTCAAATACTGATGGATCTGTCTGACTTGATCTCGGTATCAGCTAAGGCGTATCAGGACGATTCTAAAAAGGGTCCCGAGGTGCGTTCTATGGTACAGCGATCTAGTCTTTAGGGGTGGCGTTCTGGCGTACCACGTGTTTCATGACCTCCTCAAACTCACTTACTGCATTCTTTAGCTGTTCCAGGCTACATATCATGAGCTCATCTCCATCGAAAAAATTAGGACAGAAGCCCGTGCTTTTCAACGCTCGCAAAACCAAAGCAATCGCGTCAAGCTTGCGAGTCACGGGCGATAGGATCAGGATCGACTTACCTGGAGTTACAATCAATTTGGGCCGTAGTATCTCAAACACCGGGTCTGTCTTAAGCAATGTCTTATTGTGTCTATTATAGCACTGCCATTCCGCTGTGCCGCATTTCTTGCGCTGTTTCAGTTTTCATGGGCACGATCTTCACTGGATGATGTTTTGTCTTTGACATCGTGATCCTGGCAAGTTCTTGATCGTATTCCTTTTTGACTCCGATCATCGATCTCAAGGTTTGGTTAGTTGGGAGGTCTTCGCTTTCCGATCCCGGCGCTCTCATAGTGGCTCGACCCGATCTGGCAGGTCTCATGATCGTCTTCCTCATCTTGATGTCAGGTGAAATGCTGACGAATAAATAGGGTAGATTTCGCCGGTTCGGGATTTCACCATTTAATTTTCATCCAGCAGATCGCTCGTTACAGAGCAATCTGCGGTGGCCCCCGAAGGATTTCTAGGGGGGATTTGAGTTTATCTTCCAGATCGGTCTCTCGATCTTCATCTTTCATTTTTTACTTCATCAGATCTCCACCTAAAGATCTGATAATCTGGGGATCTTGTGCCTCAACGTGTCTGCGTCGATTTCTCTGTCGCTGACAGTTCCATTCCTGGTTCTTGTTGATCTTGACATCTTCGCCAGTTGACTTGCGGTGAAATCCAACAGCCTCAGAACATCCGGGCACGCGCACCATCGTGGTGAAGTTCATGTCACGAATTGGCAGGTGTGAGTGTCGATCTTCCACTGGCCCAGACTTGTTGACTCACGGACGGGGTACTCCGATCCGTGCCTTGTAGCATTATCTTGCGCTCCTCTTTTGAACCCGTCGGTTGGACTGGCTTGAGCTCTTCTTAATGGCCTTGGGAGATGTCGATCTCGCTGAGAGGTTGGGTTGAGCGTTCGATTCCAATGCTGGAATCTTCACACCACGAAAGGGTTCTGCAATCTTGATCTTCTGTCGCTGCAATCTCTTATTCGGAGATGTCGCAATACCGATCCTAAATTGCACCGATCTCGATCTTGTTGTCGGGATCGGGGTCTTTACTGTGCGGGAATCTTCACTAAGTGAATAAAATAGGTCTGCATCAATCTTGCCTTGAGATCGGTCCGATCTGGTTTCGAGATCGGCCGCTCCTGTCAGAATTGCGCACCTTAGGCCAGATAGAACTTGCGCTTTGCCAAAATGAATCGTGCCGATCTGTCCTGTTAATCGCTTGAAATTGCTTGGCTTTGTCTTGAATTCCTTGTTCAGATCTCCTAGCCACTTGAGATTTTTCGCGATCTTGCTTTCGAAACCCCTTTTCTTTGTTGCTGCTACCGTAGCATCTGAGTTGAGAGTGATTACTTGATCGACCCGGGCCAAAGTTCCCGAGATCGCTCTTTGTCCGATCTTGGCCAAACATTTCAAGATCAATAGTCAGTGTCCTTAAACACGCGTGCCTTAAGCCGTCGGGAGACAAAGGAATATTGCCCGGAAAGGGGGGACGTGTGAAGTGTGTAGAAGAAGTTGAGTTCATGTAACGGGGTGAATCGTTACATAACAATTTATAAGAAATTGTTCATAGAATATAACTATAAGAGTTATATTCTCAGAATATTGTCATAAGGACAAATATTCTGTAGCACTTACGAGTAGTTCCTAATTGGTTGATATAGGCCATTATATCAACCAACGAAGACGCGCCACGACAGACGCACGCAATGAGTGGTGAGCAGATAGTTGTTATACACATTTGTATTTAGACATTGTTAGATGAAGATAAATAGTGATTTATTGCAGACATTAACTATTATAAATACAGTTCTACTTTTTACTTTAACCAAGTACTCGCTTCTTCTTACCGTCTTCCTCTGCACGTACGAGTGTACGTGAAGTTACGAGGCACCGCCTTATTCTGTTATCAGAATAAGTAGCTTGTACTGTCACCAGTACAAGCTTCAGGGTGCCCCGTTACACCTGGTAGCACTTCGTAGTCCGTCCAAGGACCACGTTCACATCTAACATGAACGTGTTAGATGATGATGATGACCAAAGCTTTCACGCTACGCGTGACGGCTACTCCCATTTGAGCGATGTCGAATAGGATGCGGTTGAACGAATGGGCTCAACCGTGGGCATCCATGCTGTTAGCGTCATGCTAGAGGCTCTCAATAGAGATGCCCAACATGCTACTATCGCCAAGTTCATTCAAAATGAACTTGACGCAGAACGCGAGAAAGTAGCCTTGCTTCGCCAACAAGGTTCTCAACAAGCAGAGTTGTTGAGAGAACAGGGTGCTCAACAGTTTGAACTGCTGAGACAGCAGCAGGCTGCTGCCGGTGGGTCGATGCACTCGCGTCGACCCGAAACCTTGAAGATTGACATCTCCAAGTATAGGGGAGTCGAAGAGGACTCCCTCTTGAGATGGTTCGTCGAATTGGATGACGCCATAAGGGCGCGTCGCATCGACGACGGGGATATGCAAGTTGCATTTGCCCAGTCAAATCTGGCAGGACGTGCCAAGACTTGGGCACTGGGGCTCAAGCTGCACGACCCATACGCGTTTGGGTCGTTGGAAGTCTTCAAGTCGCGGCTCAGACAAACGTTTGAACCGCCTAGAGCTGAGTTCAGAGCTCGAACCGAACTCTTGAAGCTCAAGCAGGGTAAGCGTGATGTGCACGCTTACGCTCAACATATACGACATCTCACGAGTTGTATAAGTTCCAATCCGGTGGATGAACACACGTTGGTTTCGGTGTTCATGCAGGGTCTTGCGGATGGTCCCGTCAACACTCACCTGTTCCGACTTAAACTAGATTCACTAGAATAAGCCATTTCAATTGCGGAGCAGGAAGACTTCAGTCTGAGACAGGCTCGCGCCAGCTCGACATCATATCGTCACGCCGAGACGATATGACAAGCGGAGGTCCAGAGCCGATGGAACTCTGTTATGTAGAGAGCGAGAAGGCTCGCTCTACAGGCTACAAGAAGTTGCAGAGATGCAACAGATGTCAAAAGACAGGACACTACGCTTACGAGTGTAGTGCCCCTCGTCCAGTGTCTCGCGACACTGGGCGTAGTGACCGTCCACCCATGAGAAAGGGGCAGGGACGAGGGTCCGCAGTTGGTGCAAAGACGCAACAACGGGATGGACCGTCAAAAACCGGACAGGATCAGTAGGTGCGGAGCACCCTACTGGTTCAGCAACGTCAAGAGAATTTGTAGGCCTCTTGCTGAAGGTTGCTCCCAACACACAAACATTGTGAGTTGCTGCTCTAGGTAATGAGATCTCACCCATTACCTTGAAACTCGAAGTGACGAATAAGTTGTCCCTTCGAGCTCTAGTCGATTGTGGGGCGTCCACCAATTTTGTGCAACGTCAATCGCTAGAAGATGGTCACTTTACGTTCAGTGAATGTGACACATCTCCTACGAGGATGAAGGTACGTCTTGCGACAGGCGCGTCCGTAACCGTCATGAAGCGTATAGTGAAGATCCACTATACGCTAGAAGATACCCAATATGACGATGCCTTATCGTATTGGATTTGGATGACAAATTTGATGTCATCCTTGGAATACCGTGGCTCAGAAGGTACGAACCACGAGTAAACTGGCAACATCGAACAGTAACGATGCCTGCCGCTTGTTCATCAGATGGCCATCTGATGAACGTTTTGGAGCGTCCACAAGCGTGTGGATGTACTACGAGTGAGTGCGATGGCCTCACTTGTTGTACGGTCGTTAGTACGACTGCACAAAACCTTAGTGTAACAAACGGTTACACTTCGGAGCAAAGTTCCGGCGGCTGTGAGGAAACACAGGCTGCGCCGAAGGTCCACCACTCGAATAAGTCGGGTGGACTGGGACAAAGATGTATCCCTAGCGGGGAACATCTAGAAGAGAAATAATCGATCGCTCAGGTTAAGCGAAACGATAATCCTAGATCGACTGGAGAGTCTTTCATAGAGGATCTCGCTGTGGTTGCGCTACCCCAGCTAGAGGAAGTAAAGAGAATAAGTCCCGATATTACAAATACGGCGGAAATAAGTCCCCGGGAAGCCGAAGGAATAAGTCCTTCGAAGCCTGGGGGGACAAGTCCCCAGGAAATGACAGAGACATTGAATGTCATAGTCAATAACGGATCATGTGTAGGCGCTTATACACTTGATCTGATTGCGCCTCCGAAGTTAACTTCGGAGATCACTCAGTTGCCAACGCTCGAACATAAAAGGTTCTTGCGTGATCTGCGTAGTGGCAAAGTCAAGCAGATCTGCATACTCGTCGCTGACGACGAGTGTGTAACCGACATAAGGTCAGCAACAGTGTTCACTGAGAACGAGAGAGTTCTCAGTAGTTCATCTATGGAAGAGAATGTCCTAGATGAAAAGACACGAATTGAGCGATATGAGTCCCAATCGTGGGAATTGCTCAAGACAAATCCTCTCTATGAAGATTTGGTTGAATTCAAGGATGTATTCCCTGAAACTGTTCTGTGCAAATTACTTAAGGATAAAGGTATTCGACACGAGGTCGAGCTTAAACCAGGCTCGAAGTACTGTGTCATGAAGCAGTGGCCACTGCCTCGTGAACAAGTACTTGCGATCGACAAGTTCTTTGCCGATCGTTTAGCTGCGGGCCATGAGAGGGAATCAACTTCCCCACATAGCTCTCCGACCTTCTGTGTGCGAAAAGCAACAGGAGGGTGGCGGATAGTGCACGCGTGTAACAAATTGAATGCTGCAACGGTACCGGCTCGGACGCCGATACCGAGGAAGGACGTAATCATTGATGGTATGTCAAAGAGTACCATCTTTTCGTTCATGGATTTGATGGATGGCTTCTATCAAATCCTTATGCGAGAACGGGATATACCCTACACCGCAGTGAGAATGCCTAGTGGCATGCTCTGGGAATGGCTAGTAATGCCACAAGGGCTTAGTAATGCCCCTGCCACGTTCAACAGATGTGTATCACATCTGTTGAGACCAGTACGAGAATTCGCGCCGAGTTATTTCGATGACGTATTCATCCATAGTCGAGCTATGGATGGAAAGTCGGACGTTGAGGTTCACAGGTACCATGTCCGACAGGTTCTTACAATCATGCGAAAGCATAATTTGTATGCAAACCTCTAGAAGTGCATATTTGCAGCAAGCGAAATACCACTTCTTGGGTGCATCGTTGGTAAGAACGGTGTACGTCCTGATCCCGAAAAGATCAAGGCGATCACCGACTGGCCTGTGCCGGTTGATGTCAAAGGTCTTCGAAAATTCCTTGGGCTAGCGGCGTATTTGCACAAGTATTCACGCAATTACGCCGAGATGACTGTGCACCTCCCTCGTTTGTTGAAAAAGAACGAGAGGTGGTTATGGAACGCTGAATGTCAGCGCTCCTTTGATGGTATTAAGCAGAGCTTGATACAATCCCCAGTCCTAGCAATAGCCGATCAGGACAGGCCATTTCATGTGGTCTGTGATGCCAGCGATTTCGCAATCGGCTGTGCATTAATGCAGTACGACCTAGAAGGCGTTGAACGCGTCGTCTGCTATCAGTCGCGTCAGCTGCAACCAGCTGAGCGGAACTATCCAGTGCATGACAAGGAACTCCTTGCCATGAAGTATGCACTCGCGAAGTTCAGAGTCTATCTATTAGGAGATAGACCCTTCATTGTTTACACTGACCATGCGTCATTACGCACGGCAGTGAACAGCCCGCACCTTTCACAACGAATGGCGCGGTGGTTGTCATTCTTTGCATAATACAACTTTACGGTCGAGTACAAACCAGGACGACTTAATGTCGTCGCTGATGCACTCTCACGTCGTCCCGACTTTGAAACAGTCGCGAAACCCAACAGTGAGACAGCCACTGTTGCGGTTATGACGTCCTCAGTCCCATCTACAACGTTGCATGATGATGTGAGGCGGGCATACGCCCAAGATGGTGAGATTGTGAAGTTGCTGACACATCTCTCACAACCATCTCGAGAATCGTTGAAACGATTGTCGCCTGCTTATCGATCTGCATCAGATCGATACACTACTCGCAACGGTTTACTGTATTATACAGCCGTTTCTGGTGACACACCACGTGTTGTCATTCCAGATGATACTGATCTGCGTTTGCGGATCATGTTCGAGTACCACGATGCTCCTATCGGAGGACATCGTGGCCGGGAGAAAACAAATCTCATGGTGAGTCGAGACTTTTACTGACCCCGCCAGTATCAGTTTGTGCGCAAGTACGTTCGCGCATGCGAAGTCTGCCAACGAGTGAATTCAAGTCCTTCGCTGCGTGCACATTTACAGCCTCTACCGGTTCCGGCTGAGTGCTGGGAATTCATCTCAATGGATTTTGTCTTCGGGTTACCCAAAGACGCACGCGGGAATACGGGTATTCTCGTATTTATTGACAGATTTAGCAAAATGGTACACCTCGTGGCTGTACCAGAGTCAATCACGGCAAGTGGCTGTGCTTGTGTCTTTTTTGACACCATCTTCCGACTTCATGGGTTGCCCCGTGTACTCGTATCAGACAGATATACACGATTCACTGCTGATTTCTGGCGTTCCGTCTTCAAATCACTCGGAACGCGCTTGAAGATGTCGACATCTGATCATCCAGAGTCAGATGGTCAGACGGAACGTGCCAATCGTGTCCTTGAAGATATACTTCGAGGATACGTACACTCCTTTAAGAGTCGGAGTGAGTTCTTGCCAATGGTAGAGTTTGCCATTAACAACTCGGTGCATGCGTCCACGACACATACACCGTTTTACGTGAATGGCTTGCGCCATCCGCGTGTACCCACCTTACTAGAGTGTAACTCTGGTTTAAGGGGGGGAGGGACTCGCGCGAGCAAAAACCGATTTAGTTCACGCTCATCACGCTCTGACGAAGAAGTCATTGCGTTTAATGCTTCGATATCGACAACATCGATATCGAAGAAAGATGATGCCAGTGAGAGCGAGGAAGCCCTCACTGAAGAAAAGGTTGATTTTGCTGCAGTGCACTCACAGCGCACTGAAGCTAACGAGTCATCAGATGATTTCATACTGGCTCGTGAAACGGTAGTCCGTTTTGTGCAAGATTCCATCGCCGAAGCGGTGGATAAGCAAAAGCAAAACGCTGACAAGAATGGTAGGGCAAACACTCTTTTATTTAATAAAGGTGACTTAGTCCTACTGTCTACGGTTAATCTACCAAAGCATGTAGTGACTAACTTGGGTAGCAGTAAACTACTACCCAAGTATATCGGCCCATTTCGTGTATTGCACCGCCTAGGCAATGCATACACGATCGAGTTGCCACGTAAGATGCGAACGCATCCCACGTTTTACGTTGGTCGGCTTAAGCCGTACCATCAGTACGCTGCTTTTTCCGATGAAGAACGCCCTTGCGCTCAAGCATCTCGCAGAGAGCCTTGTGCTCCCGATGGTGGGCATCAACAAGGGTCTGAAGAGCAGCTATCTCATCCCGAGACCGATCAACAATCCCACGAGCTACCCTTAGCTCGTCACGAAGAGATGTCAGGGATCTCTCGTTCTCAAGCTGAGCAAAGGCAAACTCAGCTCGATGCTTCAAGACAGTGTCCGCCATTTGGAGACGCCTGTCCCGCTCATGTTCGAGATCGTTGCGTAACCATTGCGTTACGCGATCAAAGAAGCTCTCGGGAACACACGGATCCCCATAATCGTGTGGAGAGCGTCTTTCCTCCTCCTCCACCTCCATTAGAGGACTCTCGCGGTGGCCAGCGCTATCTAGTTGAGCAGCTGTTGAACCACCGCGACGTGAACGGACGTCGGACGAGTTATCTCGTCCGGTGGAGCGGCTATCCCCCGTCCTGGGATACTTGGGAGCCCCGCTCCCAACTGATGCTCGACGTACTGGGTCTGGTTGAGCAGTACGACGCGGCACATCCTGTGCCGCAGAAGGACCGCCGGAGAAAGTCTTCCCGGCACGGTCATAAAGGGATTTCAGGTTGTCAATCCCTTCGTACATCTCAGTAGAGATACGTACGCCCCACCACGGGCTGGTAAGGAGGTAAGCATCCTTAGGTGCTCATGCAGAGTTTATCACACAACATGGGCACGAGTCTCCCCAAGAGAGGCAGGGTAATCCTTTCTCCCTTGACAGACGATGCAGCTTGTAGCGTGCACCCGTCGGGGTTCGCTTTTCAAACTTATCACGAGCTTTGATAAGTTTGTCGTTCCAAACGTCACGACCTACATCCTCAAGGTTATGGATGTAGGCGTTCCACGCTTGAAGTAGTGAGGGACCATCACGCTTGTGATTCCCACTGTACCATCGATGTCTAAAGAAAGCATCGATGAAGAATTCATTCTCAGCGCGATAGTTTTTCGCGCTGGGGTTCAAGGTGATGGATCCTTAAAGAATCGAACAATCGTGTTCGATAACGATCACTCGTCGTCGCCGACAAGTGATCCATGACGGATTTGGGAGGCATCCATGCCTTCTTCTCGGGAGCGAGACGCAAGACATTGCGGTCCCGCTCTTCCTGCGACGTGCGGACAGAAGTACTGGCACCTCGTTGCGAAGTGGTGTCCATAGGAGAACCGACACCACTGTTAGCGCGACCTCGAGCGCCTCCGCTTCGGCGATGGTTCATCTGATTCATCAGATGAACCAGAGATGCTACGACGCAAAGCATCATCCATGCCACGCTTGGCAGGCGGCTTGGTTTCAATCGCCGTCGATACGGATCCGTCTTCCGTATCAGGAGAGTATGAGACACCGAGCTCATACTCTGTGAAGACATGAGTGTCTTCATGACCAGCACCTGCATCACCAAGTGACACAGGCTGAGTCGCTTCAGCAACCGATGAGACATCAGTTGCTCTGGTTTCTGCTTCGGCGTCCGCACAGAGACGTGTGGACGCGCTCTCGGCGGCCTTGCTCGCGCATCGCATGGGCTTGTTAACTATGCGATAAATTGTTGGAAAGTGGACTCGGACCAACAAGTGCAAACCCTGTCCCAAATGATTTGGAACGAGTATCCATTTAGTCAATCAGTCAATAAAGTGACTGATGGTTAAGAGGGGGGGGTGATGTAACGGGGTGAACCGTTACATAACAATTTATAAGAAATTGTTGATAGAATATAACTACAAGAGTTATATTCTCAGAATTTTGTCATCAGGACAAATATTCTGCAGCACTTACGAGTAGTTCCTAATTGGTTGATATAGGCCATTATATCAACCAACGAAGACGCGCCACGACAGACGCACGCAATGAGTGGTGAGCAGATAGTTGTTATACACATTTGTATTTAGACATAGTTAGATGAAGATAAATAGTGATTTATTGCAGACTTTAACTATTATAAATACAGTTCTAATTTTACTTTAACCAAGTACTCGCTTCTTCTTACCGTCTTCCTCTGCACGTACGAGTGTACGTGAAGTTACGAGGCACCGCCTTATTCTGTTATCAGAATAAGTAGCTTGTACTGTCACCAGTACAAGCTTTAGGGTGCCCCGTTACAGTTCAAGTCTGTCTGTCAATGAATCAAATTATTATCTTACATACCCTTGAGCCTAATCTTAACAATAGGTCACTCTCTAAACCGATCTCATCTTGAATTTGGATTGCCCCCCTTGCCACGTGTCAAAATTTCGTGTCTTGTACTCCAATGATAGCGTCAGTATTCCCGATATGGTACTTAGAACATTAAATGTACTCAAATCTCAAGTATGGCCCCAAATACCCATAATTGGCGCCAAAGCACACAATGTATGACCCAATTGCATTACGTGTCCAAATTTTGCGACGTCAATTCGGACAGCTTCTACCAGCTCTTTCGGTCTATAAGCTATTGACATCACTCAGGCAACTCCACCAAGTACATTCCACATGACCCGGTATCCTCATCAACTATTTATCCATGATCAGTGTGGAATATGACCGATCTGTTGCCCAATATCGAGATGCTGGAGATCGATCCGGTAGAGATCGGCGACTAAAACTCTTTCGTCTTATTTCACGTGCTCCATTATCATCCTCCAGTGATTATCCAATCGACAACCTCATCCGTACGCCTCGACATAGGCTTCCTTGACTCCCCTGAGTATTTAGTGACTTCCAGATGGGGGTATGATTGACCAAAATCAGTGCTCCCATTATAGGATCAGTAAAGATTATCACCTATCTGTAAAGTGCTGCACCTTTGTTGCAGATTCACCGATCCGTACCACATGGTACCAGACGTGCCTTGGGGAATCACCTTGTCCCAGATTTGTCAATTCTTCAGAGGATCGCCGCCACAGCATGTCGATCTGCTATCTGGTATTCGCCTGCTTAAATAGACGTATACTTCTTTTTTACTAACATGCAGACGAGTTGCATGACTTCGTCCCGCTGTATTGTACTGGATCTCTCCATAGAAGCCTTTTCCCAGATCGCTCCGTAAAAATTCTTCCGGCTTGTCGTCTTGTCTCCGATATCATCCCGTCTCCGTCGCCTTTGTGACGTTGAATCGGATCGCCGATCCTAGTTGGGGTCATCTTCCATCTCCTATTGAATCGCTAGGTCACCTGGTCTCGTTTTCTGCCAGTTAGTGGCGTCTCAACTGGGTGGTCACCGATCCACGTCCCAAAAACGTAATCAGCGACAACGCCACATCGGGAACATGATAGTGCATATTATTTCTGTCACCTTTTAGAGTTTTACGGTAAAGTCTAACGAGAAAAACTACACGATGGCAAGAAAAGGAGCGTCGGCTCTTCTCCGGGTGCTACATATCCATTATCCTGTGCTGGTACATCGCGCAATTACACTGCTTATGCGATGTTCGACACAGGCATGATTGTTACAAATTTTAGGCATTAAAAAGACTTGGGAAGATGGGCTGCTTTACTATCAAGCTGAACATTGGCGGTTCGTCAATCTGAGAAGGGAGAAGATGAAATACTAGGCACAATTGATACGAATATAACATCTTGTAAGGAAGTAGATGAAGTATTGATTGCGATCGCACCGAGGAAGCAGCCAGGACAGACGATAATTATGACACCACCCACGGGAGGAGTTAATGAAAGCATGCTAGTAGCTATTTCAGGGGATCAGCCAGGGTGAAAAGAAAGGTGGAGCATACAGCGCGATTATATGGAGATTGCCATAATAGACGATTGTAGCTACTGCTTCCGAGTTTGCTTTTCAATTTTGAATTACGTGCCGATCAGGCCAGGGAAGGAGTGGTGATCTGCGGAAATTCAAATTTAGTAGTATTTAAATGCAAGGATTTACTGACTGTAAAGAAGCGGGAGTACAATTGCTGATAAACATAGCAATAAAGGAAACTTTGTCTTGTCGTGGCCAGACCATGAATTTCTGCATATGCGGTGAGACCGGAATCAGGGTGCAGATAGACTGGCGAGTGAATCTCTACGGCAAGAGAAAGAACAGTTGTGGTTTTGGATCAGGATCGGCAGGATCTGATCACTTTCAATCGTTTATGTGAATCACCTTTACCAGATCAAGTTGATTATGCAGTCATGTTGGTAGCTATAACTCGATCAGATCTAAGAAAATAATGTCAGCTCAAGAATTTTCAAAAAGGAGGTATACAGCAAATATGATTCAATCGCATTAAGCAAACACAAGACGTAAACATTCGGATATTATTTCTGAATGCATATTTCATTAAAGATGTGGCTAGATTATTGGCGGCTGGAGGCAAAGTTTTGCGCCCTGATCGCACCGGATTATAAAGCAGACCAAAGTGGGTTACTATTGCACTCTTCGATATCTACCACCAAATCGAAAGACTGTACTGAACTATCCGGTCTAATTCTTTTATAGAAGCTACAACGAAACCTCTTGCTACACTACCACAAAAGTTTAGAGAGTGGTCATCAAGAAATCGTCCGTACTTATGAGTGCTTCTGGGTGAATTTCCATTAGCGTGGGTTTATCGAAGTGTGCAGCGGTATGTGGGAGATTGTGTTTATTGCAAAACCGGAAAGGACGATCAGGTAATTGGAGCGGATCACATGGTAATTTTGCAATTGATTTATCCCTTTCAAATTATCGCTATGGATCAAATCCCTTTGTTGCCACGACTTATGAAAATGAAAAACCGAGCTGTTACTATAAGACGATTAATTTTCAGGGTATGTCATCGAGAAAGCAAATTCGTCCGGATCGGCGGAGGCGTTGGCGGAATACTACGAAGAACGCGTGTTCATACTATTTGTTGCGAGTGAGGCTATACGCTATGGTCTTGAGCAAGTATTTGTGTCCTTTTATTATTTCCTAGCGTTAAATAGAATTACGACGCAAAAACAGCGGAAAACCATGGCACATACACTTTAAAGCGAATAATACTGCAGAGCGCACACTAAAGCGTTGACCCGACCCATCAAGAAGTATGTCTTGGATGAAAATCGAAAGTACTGGGTCGAATTCACAGAGTAAATTATCCTATGCGATAAACACCGCTCGTGATTGGTTGTAGGGAGTCACACCGTTCTTACTGGTTTGTAGCTGGGAATTAAGATCAACTTGGAAGCAACATCACCGTTGAAAGGCACCAAACCTCTAGATCAAGATACGCGAAGGTGGATATATGGTATACAACGCCATTATTAGCGTGCACGGACGGTAGTGAATGAACTTTTAAAGGCTGCAACAAAAGGTCGAACCGATCGACATAGTACGAATCGAAATTTATCGGATATGATCAAGGGTCGCAAATTTGGTGTTATCTAGATCTATAAAGGAAGTATACGATCGAAAGATATCCCATATGTGGCACGGACCTTTTCTAGTACCCGTAAAAGGCGGCGATCAAGCCGGACGGTTAGAAATGCGGGTACGCCGTATAGCCTATTTTTAACAATTAACCATTCTAACTTAAAGCTAGTTCCTTTTTTTTAGAATGCCCTACGAGTAGGCTGAATGTTGATGAGACAGACCGATTTTATTCGGGCGAAGCACTGTTTCCAGATGGATAGTAAAGCGGGTGACCTGGACGCATACGAAATCGAAGTATTAGATTATCGATGTGCGATTGGGGCGGAAGACGAGATATGACCGAATACAGAAGCAGTTCCTCGTACAATGGAAAGAATACAGAGACTCTATCTGAATCGACAAAGCTAATTCAATTGTAGAGCTATGTTGCAAGAGTTTGACGTCGAGGGAATAGTTGTAAAAAACGATTTTGAGGTGATGCAATCTAATGAAAAAGAGTTCAGTGATAAGCGACGATCGGAGTGCTTGAGTGGGTGTGTCAATGCAGGGAAAACGCATAGACGAGAGGATGACAATGGATGCAAGGCGGTTGTACATGGAGGTAAAATGGATTTTTGCATATTGAGTGCGACGGTTGCAGAATAAGTGGCTAGATCACGATGATATGGCGATATAAAGAAGGAAGAGAAACGATTTATTGAAGGGATCGAATGTAAATGAGATGAAATTATTTTGAGGGATCGCGTTTTGAAATAGACCAAAGAAATCAATCGTGGTCAAAGATCTAATCACTTAGGTGTGGAAAAAAGGACTCAGAGTGGGAGGCGATCAAAGAACCAAATTGATTCTTCCAACGCACGGCAGGTATGTTGGTCTGCTGCACGAACACAATGGGATACCACACTCTAGCTTCAATCGGAAAGACGAAGCGTAGAAACATGGGGTCCAATAAAAAGTCCAGATTGCAGATGCGGTCAATCATGCCCTGAACAATCAGCTGCAGCACCATATATCACCGGAGGACAGCACGATATCGCCTCGACCTTTTTTCTCGCACAAAGGCAGCCAACTCAGGGTCCAATTTACTCTGCGCAGGGGAGACCCACAAGTAAGGAGATGCTTTACAGATCTTGACCATGACAAATCAGGAAACCTTCATACGTGTCAAACAGTTTTCAAACCTTCAGGAAGGCTTGAACGATATCTGGACTGCAATCTGATTGTACACGCCCTACGGAACTAATTTAAAACTGGATGATCTTAGGGAACGTGACCGGCTGAGATGACCAAAAGGATTTCGAAGGATTGCGAAGCTTACCCTTCTGGACAGGGAAAATGTTTCCCTTGATCTTCGAGAAGTTGAGACAGAACAGGTCTATGCCCAGTTCCGACACGCTGATCAGGCTGAATACATAGCGGAGAAGTGGGACACTTCTACCGCCGATCGCAAAATCCGATCACGATATCCCATATACCAACGATCGCGGGGCAGGATGGTGTCATAAAGCACCGAAATTTGTTGGGGTCAGTAGAGGTTTACAGAATTTCGAGGATCACAAGAGAAACTGAGAGTTTCATCGAAATCACTTAATGGCTTTCCAATTACATACACCATAGATACTCGCGGGGTTTCTCGAGCTGTTGAGTTGCCGAACTAGGGGAGTCAAGGTTAGTTGGAGAAGATTTGGAGCAAAGGATGATTTGTTGGAAGGCGTCGCAGTTCTACGTAGGACGGAAGATCGGGTGAATGATAACTTAGCAAGCAGATGATAATATGTGTCAGCGGAAGATGAGTCGACTTGATCGTTTCTCTACGTTTGATCCGGCGATGGAGATGAAGAGTTGGAGGGATCAGGAGACGCCTATTGAGTGGGTGGCAATATGGTAAAAGGGAGCATTTAGACGCTGGCAGATAGGACGTGGTAGATTAAAGTACCGATTATTTTGGATGAGGCAATGATACCTTCGAGACGCCGGCGCGTCGGACGTAGAAGAAATAGGTGTCCATCGTTGCGTTCAAGGAGATGCTGCCTTACGGGATGCCATCGTATTATCTGTAACAGAGACAGGGGACGAATGATTCGGTCCAGGTGAGGACGCCTTCTTGGGAGACATCGCGAGCTGAATGGGAGCGCTGGCGAGTAATTTGTTTAGGTGTGTGAAAAAAGTTTTTTCAGTGGAGTGCTTGATCACGTTCCGTTTTCAACTCGGCCACTTCCTGTACCTACCGATCATGATCCGCGTCTTGATCGGAGATACCCAACACAAGTCGATCATGTTCAACGGTGATCTCGGAACCCTGGACCGTCAGGCTATATGCTTGATATCAAGGGTGTACAAGTCTATCCAGGCAAGTGTAAAATCCAGCGTGATCGAGGACTGGCAGGTACTGAATTAAGTTTTCGCATCTCTCATCTAAGACCTCGCCCAATCGTCATAATTCTCGGAAGACACAATCGCCAAAAAATTAATTTTTTCTTGAGCAATGCCATTTTCCGTGCATAAATCTCCTGATCTGCATTGTAAGCCGCATTAATCTTGTAAGGGCGGATCTCAAGATCGAAATTAATTGAGACGTCCTTCTTGATCAGCTAATTACTTTTGAAATTCGACAACTTTCACTCGGCATCTTTTAACATGTCACGTTGATTGCTATAAAGCTGGTTTACGAAGTGCTCAATCGGTCCAGCGAAGTCTTGAGTATCATCTAGTTGGTCTTCCAGCAATCGCCGCAAAGTTTTTGAGATCCCAAATTAGTAATTTGTTGCAATACAATTGTCCAACGAGTCTTGGCGGTCCTCGACGCAATCCTAGCGATCATCGACATCAGCGCAATCATATAAAACATCGACATAGGACAGCAAGGAAAGTCCACCGCAGGAAGGAAGGCCATCCGCCGCTTTAAATTGATAAAGAAGAGTGCAGTGGAGGAATGGCCGGCGAGAAGGCACGTGATTGGTAGAGCAGGTTCGGTAGGGTGATCGACAGATCAAATAGGTATCTCCTTGTACACATAATAGTTGATTTTGGAGCTGCAGAAGTGGAGACAAAGTCTGACCAGGCGCACTGATACACCAGCACTGTATACCGTATTATCAGCGCAGAGGACGGCTGTGGTATAGTCAATAAATAAAAATAAGTGATCGATGGGTGTATCGATCGAAAGCGACGACTGGTCGTCAAGACGGGTCAATTGGCTATTAAGCTGCGCAATGTTGATACCAGACATAAGATGTAATGTGATATACCAAGATCGATTACCGGTAATGCGACTGAATTACGTTACGTTACGTTACTTACACTACGGCATTACGAGGAAGCGTAAGAGACACACGTGCTAGCGTATGTCGATTGTAGATTAATTTCAACTCTACTTTTTTGTATTCATGTGTTTAAATACTAAGTCATCCTAAGTACGAGTGGTCTCTGAGCCACAAGAGCCAATCAACCAAAAATCGCATCCTATTGGCTCATAATAGGTCTGTACCTATTTATCAGCAGAATAAGACTACGACACACTGTAGCCACTACACTTGGCTACAGTGTATACCTACTATGTATATGTATGCCTACGTGGTTATACCTAGATGCATACTAGCTGTAAATGCCTTTTATAAAGTAGTGTAAGGGTAACACCTCGTTACACAACCCCCACTCAAAATTGCACTTAACGTACAAAATAAAAAACAAAAGAAAGGAGAACGAACTATCTCGCTCACACCGCGCACGTCGCGGTGAACACATCTTCGACTTGATGGCTTCTTAGCATCACGTTTTTAAGCTTCAACAACGGAAGCACCTGTCGCATTGACGAGCTTGCAGGTGACAACGATGACAGCAAGAACACTATGGACGCTTTGACAAGCGGCGCAACCACAACTTGACTCTCATCCGTTAAGTCACTGCGCTTGGAGGCTCTAAGGCTATAACGGCATCCAACGCGCACGCAGTGACGACGAGATGTGCCTATTATGGCGGCGATGGAGAGCGACACGGGGAAAGCTCGTCACGGTCACACTCGCCTCTACCCAAGCATCACTGGATGCATCTTAATTAGAGTTCGTGACGCGCTGGAACATGGGGTCGTCGCATCCACAACTGTAGGAGCGGCAAAAGTCGATAGAAGTCATCGTGGGATCACTGACCTGCGCGAGCGGTTCTGCGACCTGTATTAAAACGCCGACAGAGATCGCTGCTTTGTCCACTCTCATGAAAGTTGTCGACGGTGTCAAGCAAGTAGAGCCGCAGAGCCTGATCATGTTGCATGGGTTAATCTTCCATCCAGACATCCGATATCAGACGAGGGGCGCCCTTGGATAGGGCTCTACGAGCGAGCGCTGAATCAGACGCTGGCAGCGCGGACAGGGGTGCGCGCGCGCTTGAATAAGCGAGACTTGTAGAGATTGAGCCATCGTACTCGTTCTCGGTCAGCAAGTCCCCTTGCATCCCAGACCGTCCATCGTCCGCAATCTCGGTCGTCGCGCCCTCAATCATCGCGGCCTTATATGACTTCACTACATCCGGAAAGTCTTCAAGTAGCGGCTTCCGAGGCCCCCGTGAATCACTCTCAGCAGAGAAGCCTAGCTAGCGAACGCGATACAGTCGTGTATCTAGTTGTTCACGATAAGTGTCACGAAGATCGTCACCGTGACGAGGAGACACGTACAGGAAGCGGCAGTTAACAAGACGATCCTCGATTCAGCGTATATCCCCAGCGCCGTCAACCAGTGGAGGAAGTACGTATCGCCGGAACGGTACACGTGACTGAAGCGCCTGTAGGGGGCGCTCGCTTTGGTTGGATGGGTCGCGAAGGTTCTTCGAGACGTTGGCCGTCGTATTGACTTCTTTGACAATGACGTTAATAAATCTCGTGACTTGGTGGCTGGGGCGGACAGTCGTTCACTGGCGACTGAAGCAACTGTCGCCGAGTTTGCTCTGCGACTCAAGCGCCTCGAGTAGTCAAATAAGGCGCTACGGCGGGAGAACGCGAATTGAGAGCTTAGCGTCCACCTGATCCTCCGAGGCCTCCGTGACATCGGGATCCGCGCTATGCGCCCCTGATAAATTCATTTGGGTCAGGAGAAGAGACAGGCGATGCCGCTTAAGACACCCGACATAAAATGTCGGGTGTAGTCGCATGGCCGAAGGAATGGCAAGTGTATAGGCATCAACAATTATCTTTATTACCTCAAAGGAACCAATAAACCTTGGCGCCAGTTCTTTTCCACTAAAGCTGGCAAAAGACGTAGCTTGAATGCCTGTTGTCGATATAAGTACTTTATCGCAAACGTAAAATTTTCGTGATTGGTGCAACCGCGCTTGTCAGCGGCCTCCTTCTGTTTGTAGACAGCTTTTGCAATAGCGTCACGCACAAATATCGTGAAAAACTATCGTTGTTGGAGAAACGGTTTGATGTCCGCCGAGTCAGCAAGACGATCCCTCGGTGACGACGCGTTTGTGCACGGTATAAGCACAGGTGACGCTCGTCGAGAGCGTCTGAAATGATCTGAGCGGTTTTTGGGGTTGTTTAAAGACTTGTTGACCCACCGAGCCGTGTCGTCGACATCCAGTGGTCGGTGATTACCTTGCGAGGATAAGCGAATGTCACCAGTTTTTAATGCTGTCTCGAAATCTGCTGATGCCAGTCCATCCGTGACAGACACAGTCGTAGGGAAGCCATGGCCACACGGCGACGCGATCGCTGCTGTATCGTCAGTAGACGCCAGCTCGTCTGCAGTTTCGCCATGGTACAAGGTGGCGACGTCGTCGTTGGTGCACCGTCAGTCGATGCCAGCTCTTCTGGTATCCCTACTCACCAAGAATAGAGATATTAGGTAGACCGAGAAGAAAGGGGACCGTGGATGACGAACATTGTTGACGAAGAAAGGCTTCATCCCTGGCGATGCACGAATCGCTTTATTTATAGAGAACTAGGTCATGGTGGAAAACGCAATCCATGACGTGAACGACGCGGCGTAACTGCGTAGGAAGTCCTCCAGTATGTGATTTGCACGCTAAGTCTGACCATCTGTCTCGGTATGGCAGCCATAGACATCAAAAGACGCGTGCCTGGAAGGGTAAACAGATGAGACCAGAGCGCAGCTGTAAAGCGAGGGTCCCGATTAGAGACAATTGTTAATGACAGACAATGATGTGTGAAGACGATGTCGATGGCCAAGGTCGCAGTTTCTTCTGCGGGAATGGATGCAGCGACAGGAGCAAAATATAACATCTTGCTGAAGCGGTTAACGACCAGAAAAATGCCGATGCGACCTTTCGCATTGGCAAGATGACCAAAGAAAAAGTCCATGCTGACCAAGTTCCATGCCTAGATCGCAACCGGTAGAGAGTGCAATGGGCATTGGAAAGACGAAATCGGTTTGACACGCTGACATACCTCGCATGAGCGTACCCATTTGTAGACCCACTTATGCATGTGAGGCCAGTAGAAAGTGGGATAAAGGGACAGATAAGCTCTCTACCGACCCAAGTAGCCATTAGTTGCATGGGCGTGATGCTCGTGAAGAACACGGGCACGTAGATAGTCGTCGAGAGGAACAAAAATGCGAGGAGGTTCAAATTGATCGATCTGGTACATGAGTAAGTCGACGATGAGAAAGCAATGCGAATTCCGTACTCGAGACGACACTTTGAGATTACGCAGCGTCACATCATATGGATCACGACACTACCAAACGATCGGCGAGTAGAAATCATCGTGGGTGTAAGCTGCCGCGATGTCGACTCGAAGGAGGTTCACCACAGTAACCCGCGTCGCATTCTCACCGAGTGCGACACAAGCAATGCATTCGTCGTCATCGCCCTCGGTCAAAGCAGAAGCCGTGACAGAAAAACGTGGATCATAGTCATGCCGACGCGTCAAAGTGTCGGCGAGAATGTTACTAGAACTAGGCTTGTAATGAACACCGAAGTTTAATTTAGCGAAAAGCAACAACCAGCGCGCCATGCGCTCGCTGATATGGGGCCCTTTGTCGCTGTGCGCAAAGAGGCATGGTCGGTTTATAGAGTGGGCGTCTACTCGCCAAGCAGGTAGTCGCGAAACTTGACGAGCATATCTCATAAGACAGACTCCTTATCATTTACAGGATAATTGCATTCCGCTGGATTCTATTGGCTTAACTGATAGCTGATCACTCGTTAATGCCTTCGCTATAATGTTGCATGAGAGCACATCCAATTGCAAAATCACTCGCATCGCATATTACATGAAATGGTTTTGAGTGATCTGGTATTGGCAACACTGGCGCTGTAGAAAACCTTCCCTCGATCTCATCGAAAGTATATTGGTGCTTCTAAAAACACGGCCCTGTGGCGTCCTTCTTCAACAACTAAGACAATTAGTGAATCACAGAAGCAAAGCCCTTGGCATAAGGATGAAGGTGGTTGTCTAGACCCAGCCGCTGGCGAATAAGTTTCTGCCCTCGAGGAACAGGCCATGAAGAGATTAAAGATATCTTCCTCCGGGTTAGCGCGAACCCATTTGGCGCTGACGTAGCTACCAAGCACCTGTATATCTGGTGCACAGAATCTGTATTCTTTAGATTGGCGTAGAGCATACTCTTAAGCATTGCTTTAAACAAATGAAGAAGGTGCTCGCGATGGATCGTGAGGTAGGTTGCGCCGGCAGGGGCGCGACAATGCACGAAGATGTAGTCAAAGTAGCCTGGAAATAGTCGCGAAATGGGCGCAGCACATGCGACACTATTCAATTCAAGGAAGCAGGGGCGTTCTTGAGCCCTTGAGGCATCAGGAGCCATCCCCACAGCATACAGCTAGACGTTCTCACAGCAGTAAAGAGAACATCTTAATGACGCATCAAAATCTGATAAAAGCCATCCGTGAGGTCCAGCTAAGAGTAGATGGTTCTTCCAGACGTAGTGTCGAGAACCATGTCTTTTTGAGGGATCGGAGTCTGAGCTGAAATTGTCGCGTCGTTCAGCTTGTCGTAAACGCGGACGATCCGCCATCCGCCTGTCGCTTTCTTGACGTAGAACGCAGGGCTATAAGTGGGCAAGGTGCTTTTGCGCACGTGAACTGCCTGCTGATACCCTTCACAGAAGGCGTCAATAGCTTCAACTTAATCGCGCGGAAGCGACCATTTTCGTATGAAAAAATAATGCCTATCGAATTGACAACGTGGATAGTCTCAATCGGAGAGGTTGAATAAAAATCAGCGACCCGGGGAGTTCATCGTTCCCGGGTCTGGCGTCGTCGACGGTGGAGCGACACTGAAGCTCGGGCCGGGCGGTTGACTGTGGGCGTGGCAGCAGTGGCTGCCGCAACGGCAACCGAAAGCCTCTGCTCCGGCACAATGTCCTCACCGTGGACATACACGGGAGCCACTGCTCGCTCGTAACACATGGAAAGCCTCTGCTTCGATGTGGTTTGTAACTCGGATACGCACGAGGAAGGCCTCTGCCCCGTTACGGTGCTCTCATACACGGGAGCCACTGCTCACGCGTGAAGCACCGAAAGTCTCTGCTTCGGTGCAGTTTTAGAATGTCGCGAGCGCTTGGGAGCAACTGCTTGTGCGTGACGCACCAATATTTTTTGCTTTGGTGCGATTTTAGGTTGTCTGTTGCACAAAGGAGCTTTTGCTCAAGCGTGGGACATTAAAGACCACTGCATCAGTGTATACATTTGACTCAGGAACCACTGTTCGACTGAGGAGAACCATGTCGAGGTGTTGTGTACCGCCAGCAAAGGGCCATCGCACGCTTCGCTGGTACTAGAGGTCGTGGAGCTAGGATCCACGGCAGCAACATGCTGTTAGGTTCTCGTGGGGTCAGTAAGCACCGCGAACACAGCTTTGAATTTAATATCACAGGCAGTGCTATTAACCCAGGCTATTTCCAGACGATGACGTGCGAGCCTCGGCATCCCAAAGGTGCAGTCAGACGACCCGCTAAGGTCAATGACATGAAATTCGTCACAGATTGCGCAGCCGTCGAGCTGGTAGGGGACGACAACCGACCGTTGTCGGTGCGTCCTCGGCTTAAAATGGGCGTACTTGACGATCACCGTTTTTGAAGACTCGCGGACATGCATTCGCGAGGGGAAAGTCTTCAAAATGTCGGCGCAAACGAAGTTGTTTGTCGCGCCCGAGTCCAGCAGCGCTCGAAGCGGGCGCGTCGCACCATCGAAGTGCACGCTGAGCACGATCAGTAGATTGCCGCTGCTGGATAAGGTGGCTAAAAGCTGCGCGTGAAGCGCAGAATGGCCAGTGGATTGTGTCGCCACCTGAGGTAAGCTTTTCTGTCTTTCCCCAGTACGATGCCATGCGCCTACTAGTTGCCCTCATTTTTTAACTGTGTGGACGAGTCATCAGGGGTGACAGACTCGGCGACAGCGAGCACAGGTGAAGGCATTCGGCATACCGCTTCGCGATAACCAGGTTTATGTCGCCACCAATTTTCGAGTCCCGCGGCTTACAACACGTCGAAAGTGAGGGGCGCGTCGATATCAATAGGGTTGGGTTCATGAACAGCACAAAAGTACAACGAATGTTCTATGTGCGAGGCTTTGACGCTATAGTCTTCGCGTAACGCGATAGTGGACGCTTCTGCAAGCGAAGGAGGAGGTTATTGAGTTGTATAAAAAAGCTGGTGGCCAACGTTCATACCCGTGACAAACACGTTGGCTTGCGGTACCGTATCGATACGATTGGTACAAATGCACGACGCCAAGTGGAGCTCGTTGGATGTAATCGAACATCGATTGTCTACCTTGTTTTAACGAGAGAAAAGCCAATCCGTGGTGATGTTCATCCTACGGGGGCTCTAACGCGAAGCGCGAATCTTGCTTTAGGGCCTTGATATCCAGGAATTACTCCCAGATTAGCGACAGCTTGCCCAGCGCTCACTCCTTCGCCTCTTCGTCAACTTGAAGAGGAAGAAGTGGGTACGAAAAAACTCGGACGTGAGATGTAGAGCTTGAAAAGCAATATCCACCTCGCGGAGCCGATAAATGAGGGCAAGATAATTTGTTTTCTAGCCGCTGCAGCTAGATATGTCAAGCTTGACGACCTTTAACGTCTTAACGACCGTGTGAGCTGAAGCTCGCCGACGCAAATCGGCGAGCTCACGGTCGACGAAGCCTTGAATCGAAAACGCTGGATGTGCTCTGGTGTGTCCTTGACTACGGCAACTACTGCACTGATGCCAGCCACGACTTCTAGGCGGCGCAGTGCTTCCCACTCGTACGTGGAGAGGTGCTAGAAGTCGTCATGATCCAACATTCCACCTGTATCGCCCTATATTAGGGAGCCCTTCTACATCGCTGGACGGACCACAAGTGCTACCAGGTGCTACGGGACTAAATTACGTTGCGTTACTTACACTACGGCATTACGAGGAAGCGTAAGAGACACACGTGCTAGCTAATGTCGATTGTAGATTAATTCAACTCTACTTTTTTGTATTCATGTGTTTAAATACTAAGTCATCCTAAGTACGAGTGGTCTCTGAGCCACAAGAGCCACTCAACTAAAAGTCGCATGTACCCACTTATCAGCAGAATAAGACTACGACACACTGTAGCCACTAAACTTGGCTACAGTGTATACCTACTATGTATATGTATGCCTACGTGGTTATAACTAGATGCATACGAGCTGTAAATGCCCTTTATGAAGTAGTGTAACGGTAACACCCCGTTATGCTATCCAGAAACTAATTACGATTTTCAAGAAACCAGGATTGAGACATTATAGAGTGATCGAGGCTGATAGCGATCCGGGAAGATGATCGACGTTTAATTAAGAAGATCACGATCATTTAAGTCGATCGACGATCAATTAAGGTGAACAATCAATCAGGAGCAATGGCGATCATGCTTTTAGACGTTCGATCAGGAGTGGACCACACATGCGAAGAAATGATAAACGGAATGTATAAGACACGTGGCAGTAGATCCTGGTATGCAGACAGGAACGATTGTAATTTTAGGTTTTTGCTAGTTCATTGAACAAAGTTCTTCACAATATCAAGTAAACGCGTTGACTTCCCTTTTGGGCTAGACGTTTGGTATTCCGACGTCAAGAAAGTCTCACAAATCGACATAAAGTGATATCCCCGAATATTTGGATGATGATCAAAAATTCTTAAGACATTCCCAGCTGCGATTGGACGCAGCAAGAACGTAAAAAGTTTAGGTGCATTGATCTCGAGACGGCTCAAGTGGTAATAATCCTAAGCGTTTTAAGCTTCTACATAGTGGACAAGATGATTTCTTTGATTAAGGGTGGCTACATCTAGTACCCTGCAGTACACCAGTGATTGCGTGACGATTCCTGCATGATCATACCTACCTATCCCATCATGGTCAAGTTTTACCTCTACAAGATTCTACTGGAAGAGTGTAAACCGCTTGTAGTACGGGTACACAAGGTGAGGAAGGAATAAATCTACGCGGTATTGGAGTATCCCTCCGTAAGTCGATCTTCTGGAAGCCAGTGGACAGTTAGGATCGCCTTACATAATGAGCAATTGACACTTCACCACACAAGTTTTAGCTGAAATGCGATCGTGACAGAACAATTCGTCGGATGATTTAGAAAAATCGCAAGCGCGCATGGACCACGAGAAAATGTTACTCGCAGTTCCATCAATATACTCGGGTCGAAAAGGATGGACTTTGGCACCTGAAAGTCAAGGATGGTGAGCATGATCATCCACCCATCGTTGATATAGTCGGTCATTTAGCCACAAAACAGTCAAATAAGAAACATGAGCTTATGGTTCAACTGAATATTAATGCGGGGATGTCCCCGAGAGAAACCTTAGCCGCTGAAGGCTAGAGGAACCGAAGTCACTGATTCACGAAAGGGTGACACATAATTTGCTCGTTAGCATCCAGATAGCGCCCTTAAAAGGAAAACAACCGACTAAGACACTTTCGGATACTTTAATTGAATGGAAGTTTTCCTATTTGTACAAGTGCGATCGTCAAGGATAAATAACGTACCTTTTTTGCGCATCCAGATACGATCGATCCTCCACACTTATATTACGTGCGCCTCTGTAGAATTTTGTGTACAAAACCAAAAGAGATGTCATGCCTTTCTGCAGGTGGTAGGACTTATTAGCGTTTACACTTCATTCTCTGTGTTTTGTTGACTTAAAGAGTGCACACATTGTGACGTACAAAAGGGCGCTAGAGCGGGTTGCGGAGCTTTATGATTCCATGACACGCTATGCTGCACCTCTTTCCGCCCACTTAACAGATGTTTTTACCAGTTGCGATGGTGATACTGTCACGATTGTCAGCGTATTTATGCAATTAATGAATCCATTATTTTGTTGGCATATTGCAAAGAACTTGCTCAAGAATTGACGCCAGCATTTTCTGGCTCCGTATTGCTATTAGTATTCAAGAATCAGAATGAGATAGTTGCATCCATCTAGGTTAATTATTCTGCTTAATTAAACGTTTGTTTGCCCTCTTGTAGATGGTTTGGCCATCTACAGAAGAGACATGGACTCATGCATAGGGAGGTTTGTAAAGGAAACACTCCGAGAAGAAGATGGTAAGTATCTACATTACATACCAGTATATCCCATTGATCACCTGCCTTTTCTTAGTATGGACGAATCGGTAATCACATGTTTTAAAATGTGAACACGCTTATGGTAAATGGAGCAAATGCCGCATTTATAAGTATATTAAAGCAGTGACCATGGAACTTTGGGGTTTGCAATTATTATGTGCTTGGTTTGCTTAATTTTGTAAATTTTCCAGAGCTGCAATCGGCGGTTGTGCCATTTAAGTGTGAAATGATGATGATTTTTTGTTGCTGAGTAACTGGATGTGTCTCGGAATATTCTTTGGCGAAATTTCACGAGTAAATGCTGCTATTGAATGAATCAAAATTGTGTCAATCGAATTGCTTCGGTCCATTTAGCACCACATTGAGGATACCTTGTGTGCACAAAATTGCCGCGCGGAAGCTCTAGGGACGGTTTTGTCTATATCGGGGACTTTTGGGCACTTTAAAGACTTCAGCGTGTACAGTTATCAGCAAAAATATCAACCTTGCATCTAGAAGCGTAAAAATGTTGAAAGCGTGGCTACCAAAGACCTCGTTCAAACTACGCTATCAGCATATCGTTTTTGGGCTCCCCATGTAAAGCTAGCCATCCACCACCAGCTTGCGGAGATGGGATGGCAGACATTTAATTTAGCAAATTTGGAAATTTTATGGGGCAAAAAGGTCGCTCCAACGGGTCCAAAAACAAATGTCCGACGATTGTTTTAATAAAGGATGTAGCTTAGCTCAGAGAGACGCTCCGTAATTAGAAATAGTTAAAGTAAAATTTGGCAGGACGTGTGGTGTAACGGCCAAAGGGATTCTTGCTGTAACG